CATATATAACTGTAAGTATTATATGGCTTTCTAATTTATAAAACTGAAAAAAAAAACCCAAAAAATTAACGCATGGATATATTTTATTTCAAAAATATGATAAAATGATAAGTGTCAAAACTAATGAGAGATTGACATGTGGAAAAAATGAATCTTCATTTATTAGAGTAGACTTGTTGTGAGACCCGTGTATTACACAGATTGATTTAAAAAAAAAAAATTAAACATTAAATTAACATGTAAATAGAAAATATTTTTTAACGTATAACTTTAAAATAAGAAAGGAAGAACCGTATTTATTGCATTTTATTATCATATATATAATATTTAATACTTTACATATCTAAGTATACGACTTTAATTTTAAAAATTGAAACAAATCAAAAGTTGAAAAGTGGATAATATTTATTTTAAAAATACCACAAAAGGACAAGTGTCAAAACTCATGAAAGATTTACATGTAGCAAAAAATATCTTCATTTATTAAGAAGGATATATATATATATATATATATATATATATATATATATATATATATATATATATATATATATATATATATATATATATATATATGTTCAGGTTCATTTGAGATCATTCTAATTTTGTGAGATCATGAGACCAAATCTAAAAATAATTTTTAAAATGCAAAATAAAGGGAAAAATCCAAAAATTCTTTTTTTAAATATTATTTTCGGAACTTGAAATAAATAAAAAAATAAAAATAAATAAATAAAAAAAAATCCTGTTTTTTTTATAAATACGTGAAATATTTTAATAGAATATTACAGTGACATATTCTAAAAAATAATTTTAAAATGCAAAATAAATGGAAAAATCTAAAAATTCGTTTTTTAAATATTATTTTCGGAACTTGAATTAACTAAAAAAACTAAAAACAAATAAAAAAATATAAAAAAATCTTTTTTTTTTTAAAATACGTGAAATATTCTAATAGAATATTACACTGTACATATTCTAAAAAATAATTTTAAAATGCAAAATAAATGGAAAAATCCAAAAATTCTTTTTTTTAAATATTATTTTCGGAACTTGAATTAACTAAAAAAAATTTTAAAAAAAAATAAAAAATAAAAAAAATAAAAAAATGTGTCTCACGGTCTTAAAAAATTAGGCCGTCTTACATGAACTTAACCGTGTGTATATATATATATATATATATATATATATATATATATATATATATATATATATATATATATATATATATATATATATATATATATATATATATACACACACATTGAACTATAAAATGAAATTAAACATCTATTTAAACTTAAGAGTGATTCTTTTTACCTATTGACAAGTTCAATATGGCTGGTTTAATCTATTGAATATGAAGTAGTCATGTATCCTAAATGAAAATGTTGCAATACAAATAGAAAACGTATTTAATTAGTTTATGGGTACATGATAACCATCCATCACCACTAAATCCATATCTCACTATCACCATTATGATTCATTCCTTCTATAGCTTTCTGTAGTCAAGGTAATGTCCCCATGCTGCGTTCTTGATGCTATTCCTATGTATCCATCACTTTATTCTATCATTTGACTTCAATTCTAACAACTTAATATGTATTGTACGTTTATTTTGCATCTTTATATATAAGTTATATTGACAAGTGGCATAGCGGATCCAGCGACGATGGTCGGGTTAAGCTCCAAATATCTAGCTCGCTGTTGCATGCTGCTTCGTTTCGCCTAGCTGATACATCTTGTTCATCCTTATCAGCCGAAAATCCCAACTTCTCATTGGATTCTGATCCATAGCAAGAATACAACTGTTTTGATTCCTCCATTTGGCCATTGAGCTGGGAAGCCACAAACTTGTCAAGATCCGCCCAGTTACTGATACACTCATGATCCTCCATCATTTTAGTATGAATGTTCCTTGAATGTTCTGCTTCCGCTAGTAAGTCGCTCATGGAGTCATAGATCTTGAGACTCGATCCTTGATCGAAGGTGGCTGAGCTTTCAGGGGGGGATGCGGTTAGCTGGGTGGAACTAGCGAGCCTAGGGAGGTGGACGAACATCGGGTTCACGAATTGGGTGGTGGTGAAGTTTTCGATTTCTTGTTTGCAAGACCTACTGTCCATGTACGCAAGTAACTGCTCAAGAACGTCATCTTTGTTTAACAGTTGTAACTGTGCTCTGGTATCCATAGAGTCAGGTAACGATCTGTGAGGGCTCTCGAGGGATTTATGGTAATTTTTCTTCTTGAAGACACGGCATACCACCCACCCTTCTTCGTGAGCATAATCAGACAAGTTTGAAGCCTGAACCAAATCCAGATTTTGAAATACAAATGAATTAATGCTTCTTGATCATAATTCGTAAGGACACACATGTGTATGTAACCATCAAATTATTGCTAAAAAGATGCTAGCTAGAGTGCTCTTGGTAATGCTTCGTAATCTAAAGAAAACAATGACAGTGCTCCTACCCAACTAACAGTTACTAGTGACCATTAAGAACAAAGCAAACATCATGTATTATGCTCTTATAAAGTCGAAAAACTTACGCTGGAATCTTGCGTAGTAATGATATTGTCGTCAAGCCTGTATTCATGCATAATATAATCAGATTTCTGGCCATGAGGAGCTCTTCCTTTGTAAAACACAAGTGTCTTCCTCATACCGATTCTTCTGAGGTTACTGTGTACGACTTTATCTCGTCCGGTGGCTTTCCAGAAACCAGCTGCAGTGGCACGATTTGTTCGGGTCCCTGTCGGATATTTCTTGTCTTTGTGACTAAAAAAGTACCAATCGTTTTGGGGGGTGGAGCCTATATTGCACTTGTCTACAACACAAACAAAAAGCTGAATTAAACCTTTTGTTTTCAAAGAAAAAAAAACATATTGATGAATGAATAAATGAAATGTACATATAGATACCTTGGATGTCCCAGGGTTCAAGCTTATTAAGATCAACCTCTCGAATAACATCAAGATCAATCTTTTCATAAGCAACTTTCTTCCTCAGGTAGTAATGAAGAAGTTCTTCTTCTGTAGGGTGGAATCGAAACCCGGGAGGCACTTTGGACTGACCGTTGACGTTCACAGATAAATCCATTTCTTGTTTTGACATAGATATGTAATTGACGAACTTCAAGGAGCATATGATATGTGCGTAAGTTTGGTTGTAAGGACTTAGATTTATACATGGACAAAAGGGTTCAAAAAGGAATCCATGAAAAGTTATGAGAAAATGGCCATCTCAACCACCTTTTTAGACCAAGTATTTTCGTTCATACCCGTAGACAACGACTGGCTATGATATATGTGTTCTGTGAGTACAGTTTCACTTGCTAGAAAGAGAGTTAAAAAGTTACAAGAATACAAGAGATCCCAGTAGGGTCGCTCTCTAGTTCGAAAACAACAAACCACCTAAGCACAACAACAACAACACACCACAAAATTAAAAACAATAATTGTTGTTTATGTTGGAAAAAATCGGGTCCCAGTAGGGTGGGGTATGTTGGAATGTGAGCAGGAGACTTGCTTCCATCTTGACAACGACCTTCGACCTTAATATCTCTCAGAAAACAACAGCTCAAACCACCGTGTGTGTGTGTATGAGAGAGAGAGAGAGAGAGATGTATGGGTGTGTATAACTGTGTATATATGGTGACAAATTTCAAATAATCAATGTGCAAGGATAAGATATAATTACGTTGAAGTTGATGATGGATTGATGGGAGGTTGAAATTTTTTTTCCATCTTTCATCATTCCGGTACCAACTACGAACGACGGCAGGTCATTACCAAACTTTAGTGCCTCTTCACAATTTCTACATTTCACGTTTCATTTGCAATCTTACTTTTACTATTAGTGAAAGTCTAAGTAAATAAGTTTTATCAACAATTAATTAGATACTTTAAGTAAATACATTTTATTATTAATTAAACTCATTTATCAACAACAGCCGTTCTAACCAATCGTTCCAAAAAAAAAAATAAAAAAAAAACAGCTACTAATGAAATTATTTGCTAAAAAGAAAAATTGTAATACTGTTAGGAACGGATTTAATTAGATACTAACGATGATTGACACTTTAACTTTAACTGAAAGCGATTTTTTCGTATTATTTGAAAAGATACGTATTTTATGATACCAATGGAAAAGGCAAAACAAAAAGGTTGATTTATTTTTTCCCATAGATCCAAAACAAAAGTATATATATATATATATATATATATATATATATATATATATATATATATATATATATATATATATATATATATATATATATATACTAGTTTATAACCCGTGAAAACCACGGTTACAAAATTAATTAAACTTTTATAGTAAAACTCAAACTATTAATCAATTATTTTAAATAAATTATTATTTAAGAGATTTTTCAGTTATATAAAATTATAATCATTGATTTATATAAATATGTAAAATTATATCACTTTATAATTTGTATTAATTTTATTTTAAATTTATTCCAATGTTATTAATTTAATATAATTAGAATAAGAAATTTAAAATTTAAAATTTAAAATGCATAATCAATAGGTTGACAAGTGGTATGCATTAATTAGGAGACATAATACGATGATAAATGGCATAATGAGAATAAAATATATATTAATTAGGAGTCTTAATAGAATGACACATATCAAAAGAAGAATAAAACTATTCTTTTATTAGAATATATATATATATATATATATATATATATATATATATATATATATATATATATATATATATATACTAGTAAACTTATTCGGGCCGTGATGATCACGGCCCTAAAGAATCGATCAGTAAGCTAGTTTTAAGTGATTTCATGAAAGAAGCAACCATGTCCCTCAATTTGTTTCATTCCTTTTATCTTTATTACCTTCATACCAAAAGCTTATGGCTGGAACCCGTTTCCTTCAAATTTGACATATAGTAGCTTCCTTGACTATAGATTTGAAATAATATTGGTTTACAATTAAAAATAGTCAAAGAAATCTGCCTCAGGTAACAAAATGAAAATAGGATGCTATAATATCAAAAGAAATGAATGTATACATATATTTCTTGCATTTATCCAGAAAAAGAACAACTAATTGTTGTTTCCCAACTTTCCTCTCATGTAATTATATGTTATTTCAATCTGTTCATAAATTTGTACCACCATTTGAATGAAATCATTTTTACTCTTTCTAGTATCAACTTTCGAATCTACAGATTCTCTATGTCAACAAGTTCGTGTTTATTGTTTATTTCTAATTTTTTTTGCCTATAATTTATTAGTTTTCTACTTTTCTTTCAATTCCCTTAATTTTGTGTTATGATATATATCTCATCGATTCTTTTCATATGCATGTTGTTGCTTTCTTAGTTTTTCCTATTTATGGTTTATTTATCCATGTCAAAGTCTCATAGATTCCAAGGCGTTTTTATGGGTCTACACATGATTTCACTTGCAAAAATAAGTTGCCAGAGCAGTGGGGCACCCACTATGGCTTCCCTGGTTTACAAGGATACGGGGATGGGGCTTGCCAGGCGATCATGTTAGGATACCGAATCTCTACATGCAAAAAAAACATTAGTCATTACTTGAAACTTGTCTGCAAAAAGTTGATATATGTCAAAATATTACTTAAAACCTCTTTCCGACGGATATCCACTTTATTTTCATAATTTTATTTTAGGAGATTCTACTAAGAAATAGTGATCGATTGGTTGAGCCTCAGTAGATTATTTACTTGCTGCCATCGGTGTATTCAAACTTGAAGATATTTTAGGGTATATCAACACAATAACTACATAGTTTTCTTACAAAACTTGCTCATGTTTCTAATTTCTTTTCATGCAGATCAATGGATGGAAGAAAACCTTATTATTGGAATAGGTATCTGTTTCAATCTTTTTATTGGAGTTGTACCATTCGAGGATCCCAGAGAAAAAACTTAAACTAAAAAAAGCAATTAAACAAATATTTTTTTATAAATAAATAAAAAAATCTCATTAAAATATCAAGAAGCTGAAAAAAAAAAAAAAAAGCAAACCAACTTACATCCTCACGACCTGTAAATGGCCTAAGACCTCTTTATTTTAAAGTTTTATGAAATTCTCCAAATTTCCATTTACATCGCTCAGCTCTAATCATATATATAGGTTTTCTATTAAAAAATAGAAAAAAAAAAAAAAAAAATACAATGTTATAAGAACAAAATGGTTGCCTTTTTGACTTTTTGTTTGTACGTTGTAGCAAGTAAGTAGAGTAGAGTACCCAGTGCTGCAGGCTTCACTCAGCATGCTCACTGAATCTGCTGTGACAATGAATGCATCTGCCCATGCTAAATGTCCCATGTGTGGATTTGGTTCTAAATATATAAGATTTAAAAAAATGTTAAGGAAAATAATAGTGAAAAAGGTTGGAATTTAATCATGAAAAGTGGGATTAACTACCTTTGTTATCCCATATATAGATTTTTAAAAATTCTACGAGTTCTTTTCTCACATAAGTTGCAATCTGTTGATATATTTGTAGAAGGAAATAATAATTAATATATAGAACAAGAAATGATTAATATATAGAGCAATAAATGCAGTCAGAAAAAGAGAAATTATACCTTAACTGGAGTTCTTCTTGAAAAAGAAATTCTTACACTCCCATAGGTATCAAGAACACCCTTGAAATAGGTAGTTAACTGCTTTGCAAGGGCTGTACTATATCTACATCGACCTTTTTTATAGAAACAAAAAATACCCATAAATAAATATAACATATTATTTTAAGAAAATTAAGTTAATCTTATTAAAAATAGGATCAAGTAATAATTACTTTTGCCCCCCCCCCCCCCCCCCCCCCAATGTTGACCACGATTAAGGGTTTTGGTAAAGGTGCAAACTCATCATGCCAGGCAATAGCAGCACTATGAAGTGCAACAGAATCAACTTGATGCAGTGATCCCAATGTAGGTAGTTGATACAATACAGATAAACAATTACTTACAATTTTTAATTTATAATAGTTGTTACTCATTAATAGAAAGGCAAAATGGTCATTTACCCATTCAACACTGCTTCTAAACAAAAGTGTAAAATGGTCATTTAATCAATGTTCATTCACACCAGAAAAGGAAGACTTTTATGTATACGGTTCGTACTAAAGACAGACATCATTAGCCCACTCAGAACCTACCCTAGATAGATCAAATAAACAGTCACTTGTCATTCAGAATTACTTCTAAACAAAAGGGTAAAATGGTCATTTACTCATAGTTCATTCAGAAAAAAAAAAAAAAGACTTTTATGTATACAACACATACTAAGACAGACATCATTTACCTATTTAGAACTTACTCAAGACAAATCAAATAAACAATTACTTGTCATTCAGCATTGCTTCTAAACAAAAGGGTAAAATGGTCATTTACTCACAAGTCATTCAGAACAAAAAAGAAAGACTTTTGTGAAAACAGCACATACTACGGACAAACATCATTTACCCATTCAGAAGTTACCCTAGACAGATCAAGTAAACAGTCACTTATTAGTCAGGATTGATTCTAAACAAAAGGGCAAAATGGTCATTTACTTAAAGTTCATTCAGACCAAAAAAAAAAAAAAAAGTTCTTGTGTATACAGCACATACTACAGACAGACATCATTTACCCATCTAGAACCTACTTTAGACAGATCAAATAAACAGTCACTTGTTATTCAACCTTGTTTCTTAACAAAAGGGTAAAATGCTCATTTACTCGGATTAAGACATACCACATTCTTAGAAGGGGGCTCATCAGGAGTCATATACTTGCGAAGAAACTCAGGAACGTACTCTTGTGCATGAGGGGTAAGAGCGTAATAATCATGTTGAGGAGCAAACACCAAATCAAACCTACTTACTTGTCTTCTTGGATGTTGAATCTGAAACCCAATTAACAAATGTTAAAAATATTCAATTAAAAAGAATTTTTTTTATAAAAATGTTTATTTCACTAATTAATGTAAGGAGAAAGGGTTCGAGTTGACTCACTTGAACAACAAACACATTTTCAGATGTTAATCTTTTTATAGAGCTAGCAATTGATATGGTGTCTCTACCACATGCAACCACCAATAAAGGCTCATCCCTAACAAAAAAAAAAATATATTAATGATAAAAGAAATGAAAATTTTACTTGCTATTCTCATAAATTCATGGTAGTCCAGAAGAAAGGCTTACTTGTCCGCAGTTCCTCTTGTTATTGTTACTATTGAACTAACATCAACTTCAAGTATAGAGGATAAGCCTACATTACCACCATTTTCTGTGGTTAAAGATTTGACTTTACTCCCTTTAGTTGTAAACAAAACTTGTAAATAGCTGTAAAGCAGTCTGATGATGTAATATATCTGTTTATGGACAGAAACTGGGAGCCAGTGTAGATATTCATTGATTCCTCCACTTGGCCTGGTAACACGACGCATGTGTTGCCAAAAGAACAATAACAGGTTAAAAAATAGATTTAAAGTTTTTTACAAGATTGCCCTTTCTTCAAAGAGCCACATTGTCTTCTCTTTTCAGTCATATTAGGATAGTTGTTGGATTTATATCTTCCTGTCATGTTTATTTCTTGCATTCATTTACATCCAGTTTTTGCATAGTTAAAGTTCTGCATATTGTTTTTTCTTCTCTATATTACTTTTCAAGCTTGTAAACTGGATTAGGGAAGAAAATATATATTTTTTCACATATTATTCATACAAATGGAGGTATTTCTCTTTAACTATTCTGTCATTTATAGAGCACTTTAGTTAAGAAACATGTTTGGCCTCTTTAGTGATCCAGAGGTTCAATTCCTACAACTCATTCAGCTGGAAACATACATCAACTATAAATTATAATGAACAATCGTGCTACCATTTTTAGAATCAAAAGAGGGATGCGCTCTTTTTAAAATATTAAAAGGTTTTTATGAAGAAGAAGAAATCTCTATAGGAACCTGAAACTGAGGAAGGAAGGTAGAGACACTAACAAAGAGCTTGCCTGCAATGCAAATATTATTCAACAAGAAGACCAATGATGACATCATTGGTAAATGGTTGACAATAAACAATATTATTTTAGTTTTGTAGTTTTCAGTCAGCTTTTAAAGTTGACATTATGCAATCAGTGTGTCTTTTTTATATATTCATAGAACATTAACAAGGACCGACTGCAAAAAATGCTACTGGTACATGAAATTCATAATATGTGCTCTTTCTCTGATATCGTCCTCCCTCCTTGTGTTTTCTTAAGGCTTTATTAGATCGTTCACATGCACCAATTTTAGATATTTGTTAATTCTCAAAACAACTTATATTAACTTTTAGTTAGCTCAAGACAGAATCGATATATAAAAGTGTGAGTGGTGATGAGATTAATCAATTTTGAGATTGGTGAATAGAAAGAGAGACATACATGTTTTGTTGATGGAAGCAGATGTTTTTTGGCTAAGCGGGCAACAGGTCTTGTAGCTTCGATTTGAGGTAGGAATAACTAAATAAATCAATTTACAGAGGTTCAAGAACTTTATTGAAATTGAGGCGTCAAATGGTAGGCTAGCGATGCAGCCTGGAGGAGGTTCAAGGTGGGGGCTGACACTCATATCAAATCATAAGATATGGTGTTCGTCCCCTTGACATAGAAAAGCACCGGCAAGATGGTGGAGGAAAGAGTGATTGTACCCCAGGGCTCAGGCTCAACTGTAACATCAGCTACTCTAGATGATTGTAAAAAGACCATGTTAAAGACAAGGTGAGAAAAATCTAGATGCAACAATCTATTTGTATATGTGTAATCCAACCTAATAAACCCTAAAATGCATAGCTTAAACTGAACCTGCAATTAGTCACAGGGAGAAGGAGAAGAAAAGCGAGAGAAAGATAATATAGTATGGCGTTAAGAAGAAGAGACACATAGGCAATTACTTACATTAACAAGGAGGAGAAGAAAAATCGATTGGACCAAATAATAATCCTCTTACTTCAATTGG